AATACTCTCATGTATATTGCCAACAAAGTTGTTGCGTTTTTTCTTTTTGTGTGCTAACAGTTTTGGCAGTGTTTCCGTATTGTAGCATTTCTGCAAACAATTTCTGTTGCCAAGGTCTGAGCCGAAATTGTCAAAAACAGAAATTGTTTGCTGGGTATATAATCAATAATGATGATAATAATTGTATTCTAGTTTCCTTCGTGTGAAAGATACGCGAGCTTTTCGCTTTCGGTAGATTTCGTTTCTCTTTTCTCTATCCCCATGTATATTTATAACCTCTCCCTCTTAACTCTTTCAGGGGCCGAAAAAGACAGCGAAATGTTTCTTTTTTTTTTTTCACTCGGAGAGGGCCGCCAAAAGAGAAAGGAAATATCAGAAGAAAAACTTAGGCACTGTATAGTTTGTGAATTGAAAAAACCACATCGCACCAACACAGAAACGCATTAAAGTGGCACCTAGCGATATTATTAGACTTATACATATTCAATTGTGAAGAATTGTACATAAGCTGCACCATCGCCCCTCAAAGAATTAAGCCATTTTGCAACGGAAAGCTTCGACGCTTTTCGAGCGTCGTATCGCACGCCACAATAACGTTTTGCTGCTGTTAAAGGACAAGCCGACATACGAGTCGCTTTTTCCGCTGAAAATAAGTCTTTTCGACGCAAAGTCGCTTTATTATTCCCGCTGCTCTATCCGCCCGCTCCGCGCCTTTAGTTCTCAGTCACATAATCCGCATCGTAGCGCGTTAGTTACTTACGCTTCGCACGTATGTTCGCGAGAACTCGATTATATATGCCATATACATTCGCTAATAAGATACTCTCTATGTTCTACAATCGTTTGTGTGATGTTGGCTTTGAAAAAAAGCCCGGTCTCGTTTTTTTCATTGACTTTCAATGCTGTTGTCGACCGTTTGTTGTTGTACGTATGTGCGCTTCTCTCTGTGCTCGCGATAAAAATACATGGACCAAGATATATATAAGGCGCGTTCTCAAAGAGCGCAAAACTCCAAAAGTGTCGATAAAGAGATTCGAAAAACCTGTGAGAAATAATTTTGTACTTTGTAACACGTAACGAGAATTATAACGACAGAAATGTGTCGGGATGATGCCTCTTTTGAAGAGGCAAATCTCTCGTTAATTTTCGTGCTCGTAATATAATCGCGAGAAAGCACTCACGGTTTCGCACGAGTGAAGTGGCTCGAGAATTTTTAAATCGAGGAATCTAAAGCTCGATCGATTTTTGGTTTATCAGAGCTGCGAATTTACCCTGTTTTTGTTATCGAGCTTTCTCCCGAACTCGGCTGATCCGCGACGATCATCAGACTCGATCAGTGAAGAATATTTTTTCCACTTGTCTCGAGATTGTGAAAATTTTAATTTTCATAAAGTGCGGAAACAAATCCGTTAATCTCGACATTTAGTTCCGAATTTAATCAACGTCTCGTAAGATATCAAAGAGCGAGCGTTTGAACTAAACACGATTCAACTTAGAAGCTAATCTCGTTTGCTAAATATATCGATGACTTATAAAAATATGAAATATATTTAGTTTAAATACCGTTGACATACAAATATAGAGGGAAATTTGTCGCCAACGCCGACTTAAAAGTTTTTCTTTTTTTTTTTGTTCACAAAAAGTATATCACAGCGTGATCCGATATATTCGTACTGAATGAAACAAGAGTGAAATGCCGGACAAATATCGAGCTAAATCTAAATTCTCGCGAGTGAACCGAATTTTTTTATCTATCTCGTGCTCTTGACGCACAATGGGGCGAAGGTACACATACAGTACATATAAAGATATACATATAAAAGTAGAAAATTTGGTGGCAGTATATAGAGATCGTGTAAGGTGAGAAACATGGTGAGGGAAAAATGCGTCGTACTTCGTGAAGCGCTAATATTTTTTTGTGCTTTATTTTGCACCAATATGGGCAAGCGAAAGCTTGTCCCGATCGACGAGGATGATTTGCCTATCATTCATTCAGATGTTACGATCCTCTTCTCGCCGTCTCTACTGATTTTATGCTAAGACAGCATAAAAAAAAAGAGAAACTGAAGAAATGCAAGTGTATATGTATATAGAAAAAAAAACAAAAAAAAACAACCGGAGACAGAGAAATAGTTTTGCGATTTGATGACTTGGCTCCACTTTACACGAAAGCTCCTCTTCGAGGATGTCAGATCGACCTTGACCGTATCACTGAAGTTGTCTCTTCAGATGTTCGATAAAGGGTTCTTCAACGAGATAAATCTCCAACTTCCAACTGGGATTCTTGGTATTTTTCAACAATTATATCAACGACTTGGATATTTATCTGAAGGTCTCTTCGTGCAACAGACGTATATATTACACACGCTGTGTGTGTTTGATTATTCTGGTTGATCTCCGTAAGCTTTTTAGTCTTTCCGTCCGCCGACCTTTCCTCAACTAATCTCTTCGGCCCTCTCTTCCGCCTCTGTCCATCTTCGAGACCCGAAATCGATGTACGTGATCGAGGTCGTCGAGCATCCTGACCTGCTCGCTTTTCTGTTCCAACCGACGACCGTACCGGACGATTGACCACAACGAGGCTCCTCGCTCGTCTACTCCAGACGCGCCTTGTAACTGGTCTTCCAGATCTCGGCGAGCGTCACGGCGCTGTGGAACCTGTGGAAAATGCACAGCGGCAGGGTGACCCTCTGCACAATGGCCCAGGCTAGGAATCCGTAGAAATCGAGCTGCACCGGATTGGCGATAACCTTCTGGGTCTCGAAGGTGTAGATCACCCACATAGTCACGTTGCAGATCAGCAGGAAAGTGACAACCTGTCTGCCGGGTTTGCTGCGATCGTGTTCCGGCAAATGAACTCGCCTGCGCGACACGTCTGCGATGAAGAGCATCTGAAGAACCACCTGGGCAACCGAGAGCAATCCTGTTACCATCACCAACAGATTCGGTTCGTGCGTGAAAGCTGCCAGAGAACCGGCGATCACGCTAAAGACGGCGTAAACGAAGAGACCGAAGGCGGAGACGCGCAGGAGGATGTCATTGAGGTCGCTTTGTTCCTCGGCCTTGAACTTGAGACTCTGCACGCGAATGAAGCCGACGATTATGGCGACGATGGATAACGCCATAAGAACGCAGTGAGAGACATCGGCGAGATAAATCGCGAGCAGACCGAGTTCCGGATGATGAATCAGCACGAAGAAAAGGATCAGACATATCAGGGAGCCGACCAGAAGAAGCAGACCGAAGAAGAGACCCTTGCTTGCTCCCACGCAATCGACTCTGGCGTGACCTGATAACGGGGGGGTTTTATGATAACTCAATTGCCAAATAAACGAAAAATACAAAATATTATGTTTTAATTTATTATTACCTGCATGAGCAAGAGCAACGGCTCTTCGTGAGAGCATTGCTTCCAAGCGACGTTCGAGATCCGCTTCCGCTTGATGAGGCCAACGCGGATGACGACCAATATGTTTCCACATGACGTAAATCACCGCCGCACCGATCAGACTATATTCGATTATGAAAGGGAACAAGTACGGCGCAGCATCCTGGACAATGGTACCCATGATGTTGACGCGTCCGCACGAATTGGTTATCGTGCCGTCCCCCGTTAAGGCTTCTGGGTGAATGCCAAAGGTATCCAAGCTTGAACTCCAATATTCACTGCTGTTCGTGATGTTGCTGACATCGAAGATCTGCGAAACCTGACAGGAACAGATGAGATTAAGTACCATACATTATTTCACAGTATCTATAAATATCAACGCGAGTGTAAATACGTACTTGGTTATCCATATCAGATTGCGGTACATTCACCAGCTCCATAAACTGCGACCAAAGAGTGGTGGTGGACGGCGTGGTAGATGTCGTGCTGATGGTCGTAGACGGGATAGTGGTGATCCTTTCGGTAGTGGTGGTGGTGGTAGTAGTGCTGATGGTCGATGGTGTGAATGTGGTCAAGAGAGTGGATAAAGTCGTCGCCGTAGTGGTCGTCAGATTAGGCAACACCGAAGCGGTGGTGGTCGGCTCTGTCGTCGTAGTCGTTGGGGTCGTCCAAGTGGTCGTGGTGGCGGAACTCGGCGTAGTGACCAAGTCCGCGATCGATCTCGCCGTTGTTCTCATCACGCGGCCCAGAGCGGTTATGGTCGTGCTAGTGGTGACGGTCGGCAAGACGGTCGTCGACCTCGTAGACGCCGTAAGAGGAGCTTCTCGTAATTGTGCCATGTCGCGCGGCTCGGTACCCAATATGGCTCCGGCATTTCGCATCGAGTGCTGCTTGATGCTCTCTGCAAATGCGCGTTATCGATTGGTCGACGTATTATCGTCGGGGTGAACTTGAACTTCGCTCGATCTCGTCGCTTGGACGAATTAAAGACTACGCGATTTTTGATCGTAAATATAAATCGCTTACCAAGAATTCCTGCTTCAACCTGGCCTAGTTTTTTGTGATACTGAGTGATCTCTTTGAGGCTCTCGAGTACCAGCGTGCGTATCCATACACAAAGATTCGTCGCAACCACGTGCATCAGTCCGAAGCGAGCGATGACTTTGAAGCGATGGATATTCAGCTGCGAAAAGTCGGTGTGCAATTTATTATGTTTTCCGGGAGAGTTCTCTCTCCGTGTTTTTACTTTGTTTCAGATTTTCAAATACGTACTCGAGAATTCATAAAGATGAAGTACATTTGCATGAAAGTGAAGATCATTTGCAACACCGGATTGACGCCTTGTAATATCTGATAGCAGGGCGATGTAAATGGTATTTCGAAGAACGCGCCGAATTCCAGACCATTGTATACCATGGTACCCAATCCAAAGGCTGAATTAAATTAAATTCGAAGTTTTAAGTTCATCAGTTCATTTGACGATTATTTTCACGAGTTTCGAAATTCAATGAAAAATTCTCAGCTCACCTATCGCGCCAATTCGGAGGAAAAAGCTTCCGTGACTGTGATCGTTTTGCGAAGTTTTCCGTTTTCGCAAAGCTCGCGTGGCAACGCCAGCTTCAACATCGGCTGCGTCCTACGAAAATAAGATCTTTTACAAATAACGTAAAGTACATTTGTTTCCGGAAAAAAAAAAAAAAAATACATTTGAATGAGAAAATACTAAAGGCAAGTAATTTAGTGTTCGAAGAATTCAAAGATTAAATATAAAAATGATCAAAGATTATTTTTATTCGAGTGTTAAAAAATGAGGCTCGAAACATCGGTAGGTTCAAGGCATGATTGATAATGTCTAGCTGTTGACTCGATTACGTCAGCGTCAAGTGTATATCTGCTTAGATGCTACGTGCTAACAAAAATACATTTCATGGGTAACATGCCATTGCCGTAGCCGTGAAACAAATCGCTCGAAACAAATTTAGTAACCTGTTGCGGTGAATCACAGCTATGGACACTTTGAATTAGATAAGCTGCTACTACTTTTCAATCTTTTCCTAAAAATATATTTATTTTTTCTCTATGCGAAATGTCAAATTATCAGAAAAAATCTTGTGTTCAAAAATTGAAAAAAAAAAATTATTTAAATGATAAAACCTGAGTTTCTTTTTTGTTCTTCTGTTGCTTTTGATCTTTATCCTTCTTATCCTTTTTCTTGTTCTTGTCTTTGGATTCCTTAGCGGTCCAGCCGGCCTTGGGTGGTCGCGGTGGCGGTGGCGGCGTGTCGCTTCCTCTCGCACAGCAGGCGCTTTCTTGAAGAAGGAAGCAGAAAACGTACAACAGGAACAGGATACTCATGCCGTACAGGTAAGTGAAGAATCCCTCGTAGTAATAAAGCGGCAACTTGTGCGTCACCACTTCGCTTATCACGTAAGCGATGCACACGACTATGAGCAAGTTCGCGTAGATGAAGCTCATGATGATGAAGAGCGATGTTCTGAAATAAAACGTGCGAATTTTTGTTTGTCATTTCTACCACAACTTAAAAAAACGACAAACTGATGACTCTTTCACAATAATATGAGATAGTTAATCTACATGACATATATTAATAATCGATCGCGTTTTAACAATCGCAAGTTCTATTGAATCATTTCTTTCGTGTCAGAAGCGTTCAATAATCTTACCCTTTCTTCTGAACAATTTGCACTCTGCTACCCCGTCGTGGCAGCATATTCGTTTTGCTTTCATTTTTATCAACAAACGGTACAACTTCGACCTCCATGATGATTGTCGTGAAAAATTTCAAAACGACCGAACAACTTCAAACGTATTCAAATCATTATATTCTTTCTCAAACAAATGTTTCTACGCGTTCTTTCTTTTTCATTGAACACGTGAAATTACATTTAATTACTTAAAGTCACTGTAATTTTACCATTATCTACGAATATTCAATATTTTTTCACATGTACCACTTGCGTCGCGTCCTACTTCGATCACTAACGAACTCTGACTGTTGCGCTCCCGATCGCGCAAGTCGATTCGCGCACAAGCGTTGCTATTTCTGTTTTCGTCTTTGTACGATGACACTCGGGGCCTCATCGAATTTTCATTGTTTTCACCAAATATATAACACTGTCCCCGATATTCAGTTTTAGATGCGCATAACGCATTTATAAATCCATTTTTTATCACCAAATCGAAAATAGTTTATAAGACAAAAACTCTGTAGCGGAGCGATGTTGAACTATACTTAAATATAGAGTGTATGTATCTTTTTTTAAAATTCAACACTTTTTATTTATTTAAAATATCACAATCGTCATAATATTTACATCACAAAAAGATACCACCGCGCGGCACACAAGTTCACTCGATAATTCACCATTTGCGCTGAAAGAAATAATGTAATTCAATATTCCGAGATGAAGTTTTACGTGTTTCAGCACTCAATGTATTTTGCTAATTAGCGCGTATCACAGAATCTCATTAAATTTCGTCCGATCTCTGCTTGATCTTGGAACGAGTGGCACAATTATAAGCGCGGAACTGGACAAAGAGGTCGATCTTCAATAACAATTGACCTGGGTGAATTCGCTTTTAATCGACGAGCATGACTGCCGCTCGAACATCTCGGACATACTTATCCGCACCTCATCCTCGTTATACGCTCTTTTTCTCTCTTAAAGGTTAGGCGGCTCGCAATCGATAGTCTATATATAATGCCGGTCTCGCAAACTCTCTCGACGCGCGATCTCACCGGGAATCAATCGCGCGGGAAATGAGGCTTTTCCACGGAGGAAAACGGGGCCGCGCAGCGCGCACGCAGGAGGGGCAGCAACGACGACGCCCGCGCGCTTCGCGCGTCGACAACATGTATGCGTCTACGTCTACGTTCAGAAGGGCTTAACCGTCCTTTGTCACCGTGGCATTTCAGGGGTTGGGGATGCAGACTTTATTGTGTCCCGCACGAGGCTGCTGCACAGCTCGCGTCAGGGATTTTTTTCTCACCCCGAATGGATAGCCAGGATATACATTGCAGAGCGGAGGCGGGTGATATTTTCCGTCTTACGGGAGAAGAACGTGGGCCGCCGCTTTTATTTCAAACTCGATCTCGCACATTCATTTGTTTTTATTTATTTTATCGTAACACAAGCTATATCGGTAAAATCGGATATTCTTGTTTCGCAATATCCTCGGCTTAATTTAGTGAAAATATATCGATTTTAGTTACCGCGACTGTAATGTATCGTTTTGTTTTTGCTGGAAATTCTATTAAAGTTCTCTCGCGCTGAAAAAAAAAAACTTAAATGTTGTGAGTCAAACAAAAAAAATTGCAGAGGTTAATCAGCGCGATCTTTATGCACTTTAACACGTGTTCGATATTTTATTAGTTTTATGCGCAAGATTACGTTGGAGCGAGTATAAACGTGTTAATTACAGTATGTGCATTCAGTTCTCGGCACTAATTAGCTGAACAGACTTACATATAACTAACCCATTTCTAATTGAATTGATCGGCCAGACTCCGCAGCTATTGTTCAATACAATTAGGCTCGCAGGCAGCGCCTTCAATAACACAGTGAATGAATTTCTCGTCTTGGATATTGCTCAGTACATCAGTTTATTCGCTTCATTACGCGGACTCCCCCAATATCGGGTTGCCTAATTATAGAACAAAAGAGCCTCGCAAAATTAGAAAAAATCGATGTAAAATTTCTTTTTGTTTTAATTGAAAAATATGAAAAAATATACTCGGTTTTCGATTCTTAGACTCTGTGATTTTTGTGATTTTGTAGGATCAGAAATAAGTTGGAACAGAGAACCGGTTTATAAAAGTGGCACCAACATCGAAGAAAAATGTAACTCGCTATATCTCTTTTGCTATACAAGAAAGAGGCGGTATCAGTTTTTTCTCAGTTGTGCGAACAAGGAGCAAACGAGAAAATGGAAACAGCGCGGACGTGGAACGGTCCAGACCGGCTGGTCGATATCTCGAAGTACCTACTTTCGGCGTCGGTGCTCCTCCCTGTTTCCTCGCCCTCTTATGGGCTTTAACCTTGCCTCCTCTTTCGACACTTCTATCCTTTCCTCAAATCCTTTCGAACGTTTATTCGCGAAACTTTATTTGAGAATTAAATTATTCGCGTCTTCAATTCGAGTCCGTTATCGTAAAAATCCGCGCTCGTCTAAATAGATGTCGTCGGATTTATCATTTATTGTAGCTACATGAACAAGTATGTATAATTTTTATGTTTTGGCATGAAAAAATGGCAGAGAGAAAAAGAGAGAGTTACGTATGTTTATCTAATCAATGAATCCTCATTTGTGTTTTGAAAAATTCTCTTCAAAAATGTTTACATTCGATTCTTTACTTTGCCTATGTGACAACAAACGAGAAAGACCGTTCGTGATTTTTGCGATTGATGACAATCGAATTTGCATCGATTCTTTTTGACGTTACCCGTTAAAATTGCAATATTTCTAATTAGAGTAATTTTTTGTTTTATTCTCGGAAACAAATATTTTTGTTTGCAAACACTTTCGTATAACCACAAATTTTATAAACCTTGCACTCTTATGACACAACATCATCATTTGACACAAAATATTTAATTATTTAATTTATAGAAATATTTTTACATGTGAGCCGCGAGTGTTCGTATTTCGCGACTCACTGCCGGAAATTTCAATCTTCGAGTTAATTAGATTTCGGAAGAGTTACACGTTCTCGCGAGAGATTTGTGGCGCACTGTTTTGTGGCGAGTGCCAACGCGTAGACTGCCGGTGGCATTGGCTCGAGACCGTGTTAATGCAATTGCGACTGCGGCTGTGTAATCCGAGATACACCTATTGCTCCGTCGCGAAGTTGCATACGGCCACACTTGTCGTCGAGAATCGATATTAGTCAATTGAAAAGTAGCGCGCGAACTGTCCGATTTATTCGAGGTTTTATGCGCATGTACATTTCGCGTCAACGCTTGAGAGAAGCCTCTGAGATAAGAATTTCCACAAACTTGAACGTTCATAAGAATTTAGAGAAATACACGAGAAAAAAAAAACAAAGTAAAAACAAACAGGAAAACGTATTTTGTTTCGTGTGAAAAAATAATCATTAGATTTGCAATTTGTAAAACATTCAGAGAATTGAGGAGATTTATCTTCTTATTTTTTTATATTTTAGTTAGTCAATGTTTTATTTGAAGAATTATCGATTGTAATTCATCGCACGAGAGAGTGACTGCATTATGCACGTCGTTCATATACGTGATACATAAGCGTCACGTATTCAAGCCGTTCACGGGTTAACGAACTGCGTCGTAAATAGAAATGCAAACCAAACTCGACTATCTCGTTTCCATTTTGAGCTCTGTTACTATTTTCTCGCGGGCCCGGATGTTCTTCACGAGTATATAACACGAGGTTATAACAGTAGTTCGGTTGTTTTCTATCTCTGACTTAAGACAATTCGAGCTCTAGCGCAAAGGGTAAGCTTGAGATTTTTTATAATGTGCGCATGTGACTCGAAAAATGTTTAGTTTTAATCAGAAAGACCTAAGTAACGTTAGGTGGAGATTTTTTCGATGTATATTTTATTATTCTGACATATTTATTATGTTTTTTGTTCACCATTCACCCTTAAATTATTGCATTCGTTTTATATCTATTCGCGGCTCATTATCTTTCACGCTTCGGAGACGAATGATTTCGCGTAGACGGACGCACATCGATATTTCTCCGCTCGAAAGTTCATGAAGCATTTGTGCTACGTGCAATACCGAGTACAAAACCGGAAATTAATATTATGTAATATTATGTATTGATATTACGTAAGAAAATTACTCGTTTTTGCGAATGATAGATACTGCATATTATTGTGTGTGTTGAAACTTCTTTTGAAAGCAATAGAAAGTGTTTTGTAAACATTAGTGCTGTTGATTACATGTGATATAAATATCATGTGCTTTTATAACAGGGAGAATGATGCTGCAATTTTTAAAAAATTTTTATTTTGTCGTTTACAAAATTGAAGTTTATATCGCAGTAAACTTCGGTTTGCTTTAGTTTACAGTTTTGAATTAATTAACTTCGTTTCTTTTTTTTATCATGTTTCGACTGATTAGAATCAACGTTGCGCACGTAGGTCACGCCAATTCTGAGGCCGTAATTTCACCGAACACGTGTAATTAACATGACGTTAAATAATTACGCTCTATTAACATGTGCACTGCAAACGGACTAAATATGAAGTTTATACTTGACCCAGATTTTGTACTTGCGTGGAAAAAACATCAGTTGTTTGTAATTATGTATCAGCAGAGAGAATTGCCGAGAACAAAGCTAGCGGATTAAAACGAACGGAAGGAAAATTTGCATATTTCATTCGTCTGGAAACAAATTTCAAACAAGAATCATTACATGCATCATTTGATATGTTGTAATAATATAAATAAAAATAGCGTGTTATAAGAGAAGCGCTTTTTTTTTTTTTCATCACTTAAATACTGTTACTTTTTCTTACGTGAAATTATGTTAAAAGGATGAGATGAAGAGATTATGACGCAAATGTCTGTCTCGTCCACTAAAAATAATGCTACACATTCGCAAGTGTGAAACACATGGCAAAATTGTTAAATTAATTAAAATCATTTTATTTATTCGCCTCTACAACGTGCGCCTTACTTTTTCGCCGGGGTCGAGCGCACATTCTTGAGCTCCATTTCCTTGTTCGCGGCGTTGTTCTTCTCGGCGTTATCCTGTGCATTTGGCGGCGAGTTTTGCGGATTGAGAGGCCTGGTGACCGGAAGTGTCGCCGTGTTGTCGCCCCCGGCCGCCTCTACCTCCACGGTGGCGACCTTACAGTCACCACCACCCACCATTGTAGATTTCGTCTCGTCTTACGAGTTTCCTGACGATCGTCAAAAGACACTTAACGATCTCGCAACAAATCGATCTAATTCCCCCCCGCGCGAGCTCAAGTGCCCCCTATGTGGTTGGTCGCGTTTCGGAGCGCTGGTACCTTGCCGCCATTTTGGTGCACGCCTCGGATTTAATCAACTCCAAATGAAATCATCGCATTAGCCCGAATCCGGATTATCTTTACGATATTAAATATAATTCGAGCGGAATCTCAAACCGCCTTTTTGTTTTCTTTCTTTCGCGCTTCGGTTTTCATTATTGCTTTCATTGACAAGCTCGTTTTACTACGATGTAAAAACGGAGCGCACTCTTTCTCGTATTCAAGTTTCTCTTTACAGTGAGTGTGAGATAGTGTAGGAGTGTATTTAGAATATATTTTTGAAAGAAAACTGTGACGGAGAAAAAAACAAACAAATTATGACATATATATATATTCTGGGTCTCTACATACCATATAAAACCATGAAAATAAGATTTAACGGAGTATTTTTCATCTCGAGAAACGAGAAAGAGAGCTGCGTACTAACACTCCGGACGAATTGCAAATCACCGACGGAACTGTTCACGCAGAATCGAGCGGCGGAAGAACAAAAAGCCAGATGGAGTTTACATAGGAGCAAGAAGAACGCACGAGTGGTACGAAAAGATTGAATAGAGGGAGAGACAGAGGGAAATGAAAGGTAGAGAGAAAGAGAGAGAGAGAGAGAGAAAGAGAGAGAGAGAGAGCGAGAGAGAGAGAAAGAGAAAGAGACATATATATGTATGGATAGAGAAAGAGAGGGAGAAAGAGAGAGGCACAAAGAGTGAGAAAGAACGAGAAGCTTAGAGACCCCTAAGGTCTCTGATCTCGCGTACTTGGTCGAACGAGCTAATGGAAAATTCCGTGCACACACGAGCGCGGCTAAATTTCCCAGGATCCGGGCACTGCACGCTCCGCTGACCGACGACCGACCAGCACTTTGAGCGTCGCGACGTATTCCGCGACGACAGATGACGAGAGAGGACTCACCTGCCAGAGGCGGTTGGCTGAAGGCCCTCGCGGTGACTGCGCTCCGGCTTCAGCGGAAAAGGGTGTGAAGCGTGGACAAGGAGAAGGGACGCGGAGGGCGGATTGAGATCTGGAAAGAGACAGGAGATCACAGAGAGAAAGAGAGAAAAAGAGAAAGAGGGAGAGAACGGATATACGGCGGTAGCGCCGACCGAGGGTGGACCCGGAGATCAGGGGAGACAACACAAGCCCGGGACTCGTCTACTCGCGCGCGCGAGAGTCGAGCGAGAAGAGCGAGAACAGGCGAGGAGACGAGGGCTAATTCGAGTGACTGGTGAGGAGCGAGCAGGACCGAGGTGCAATCAGTCGAGCCGTGTTATCGGAGCGCCACGAGAATGGGGGTAGAATCACGATCGCCGCCCCCAGCATCCCGGAGACTGAAGCTGGCCGGGAGGTCTCTTCCCGGGCAGCGGCAGCTTCTCGCACAAGCGCACTACGAACGCGAGAGCTTTTGGTCCATATAGCGCCGCGGGGGTGTTTTCCTCTCCTCTTTTACCTTCTCTCTCTCTCTCTCTCTCTCTCTCTCTCTTTATCTATCTATCTCTATCCAGCATCTTACTCGAGATGATGCTCTTTCCCTTCGTCCTTCTCAGCTTACGGCGAGGCCGTACGTTTTACGCCTCGGCCGATGAAATCTCGCATCTCCCGTGTCTTCGTGGATTTTTTCTTCGAGCCATTGACCACTTCTTGAAATCCCTCTTTATGGGTGTAAGCGCGTCTTGAGCACGGGAAATCGTGACAAAGGACTCGCGGTGTTCAACGGTATATACAACTCCGTTCCGCGATGTTTTTCTCTCAGAGAAATAGCAAAAGGGCTCTTCCGTTTCCCACCGGTAGAGAGAGTGACCGGTCGAGAGCACTTGTTCTTGTTCTTCTCTTTGCGTGCTTTACCGCGGAAACGCCGACGAATATAAAATACAAACTGCGCCGACCGCGTTTTTGTCATTAGTTAATTTTCATGCGTAAAATCAAGAGAGAGAGAGAGAGAGAGAAAGAGCACTTCCATTCCCTTGATTATTCTCCAGTAAGTTAATTTCATTTGCATAGGTAGCTGATACAACAATATCTCTCGTGTTCTCGTTTCAAACCTCATCTCCAATTCTCCTTTATGATTCCATTTTCGCTCGGGCACCACGGAATCTCGTACAAATGTTTCCAACGTTACGTGAGATCGTTTCGTTCTCGATATCTTTTTTCTTTGTTTCAAGAGCGGCTTGAACTATTTTGACGTTCGTTGACAAAATGCTCGCAATTCATAAATCTTTTATATTATTTGTGTGTGTGCGCGCGCGCGCGATTGACCCTTATAAATATTTAACTCTGAATCCCGCATGTATTTGATACCGCATAAATATGTATGGATTATTATCAGTTTCAACAAATTTTCCGAATCTCTGTCGATGATCATCGAGGCACGCGTACCGGTGAACAAGTGTTTTCTTGTTTTTGTCGTATCAAAGCTTATTGAGCATCCTCGTCCGTGATTTCTGTCGAGCTATCAAGGGACGAGTTCTCTTTGTCCCGGCGAATCCGCCGCTGTCGTGCCATGAATTTTTCCATAGATAGACATCCCGCCGTGTCTCTTTCGCGATTCATCGACGCGCGCGTCCGTCGCACGAAAAAAGAAAAAAGAGGTGCTCTCAATGGCATCTCATTATTTGCGTGAAAAAAAAAAAACGCGCGCTAAATTTTTAACGCGCGCATTTAAATTTCTGCGCATTGGAAAGCGTAAAATTGAAATTTTTTAAGTTTCTTTCTTTTCTTCGCAATAATGTTACAATAAAAATTAAATAAACAAATAAAACTTGATTGCACAACTCGAGGAACGTTGTGCTCATTCGAGAGAAATGGTAAAACGTAATAAATTAAATATCAGGACTTTTCATTTTCACGCAAGAATGGTCGAGAAAGGTTCAAGATACGTAAGTATCGAGTGCACACAATACTCCAAGCTCTCGGTTCTCTATCGAAACGATATTCGCTCCATGGAGAAACTGTTTTCCGGCGCCAAAGAATTCTCTCGCTCGGGTGAAAAACGAACGCGCGAAGAGTGA